GCTTTTAAGAAACTTCTTAAACTTAGCCAAACATGTTCTAAATCAATGTGTGAAATAGTTGTAGAGCTGAGAAGAAAATGTTGACATAGTTTTCCCCAAGACAGCCCACCTAATTCAGTTATCAGCTGAATTGCTGTGTAAGACCAAATCAAAAATTGATAAATAATTAATTACATATTTTCACCTAATTAATTAATTAACTAAAATCTAACAAGACTTTCTCCTTGGGATTTTTGGTCCACATTTAACCTAATCTATAGTACCTAATCTTTATTATTAGTAAGATGATAATTTCCTTAAAAAATCCTACAAATTTCAGAATAACAAAAAAGAGATTAAAATAAGTAGGGTTAAATCAAGTATATGCATGTGGAGGTGGTTCAATCAAAACATTTTTGCGTAAACTATAATTATCTTTTGAGACTAATGTTTCAACTAAAAGTTTGAATTATATTTATCTTATAAATTAATAGCAATTGAAGTAATTATTATTTGTATACATAGGAAACTTTTTTTAATGGAAATTAAGTAACAAACTAATAATTACAGCTTCAAATACTAAGTCAAAGTTGAAAAATATACCACATCAGAAAGAAGACTCGTGACGTGAGTGTAAATCAAAATTGTTTAGTACCTGTTTGATAGGCCAGTGGGTGCACCAACTTATTTAGGGTTGAACTAAGTTTCCCTCTAAACCTAATCAAGAACCACCCTCTCTCTCTCTCTCTCTCTCTCTCTAGAGTTTTTGTGTATATAAGGGATTACACTGTCTTATTCTTCTGCAGACAAGCATCCATTCCATTTACATCATATTCTAAAAGGAAATGGAGACCTTGAGAAATATTATGAATCCCTTCTGCACTTTCTTGTTTTTAGGCATGTTGTTGCACTTTGCAAGCTCAATGCCAAGAACCAAAGCAGTAACTCATTACCATGATTTTGTGGTATGTTTTTTTTTAATCTCACTTTTTGATCTTTTTCTTTGTCGGTTTGCTCGGAGTTTCTTTGAAATTATTATCTATTAAGGTTGATATATACACGATATATATAACTGTAGGTTCAAGCAACACCAGTGAAGAGGCTGTGCAAAACTCACAATACTATCACTGTGAACGGGATGTATCCAGGACCGACATTGGAAGTGAACAATGGTGATACTCTAGTTGTCAAAGTTACTAACAAAGCTCGATACAACGTCACCATTCATTGGTAAGTTTATTGCATAATGTTTTATTTTTGCCATTAATAAAACATGCAACATAAATTGGTTTAAGTAAAAATAATAAGTGCATGCATGCAAGCATGCAACTTTTCTGCTCATGTATATTGAGCCTGAGAGACAATTTTTATAGACATATTGAGCATGACACTGCATGCTAGGACATTTTTTACTACAGGCAGGCTTATTTCTATATAATTATTATTTACTACAGGCAGGCTTATTTCTACATCAACTTTTTAACAATTTAAGCTTTTACAACAACAAACTTTATGTGTACTGACAGAATGAACAACTGTTGCATTTCTGCTTTGACCAATATATAGGCATGGGGTGCGACAAATGAGAACAGGATGGGCTGATGGACCAGAATTTGTGACTCAATGCCCTATTAGACCAGGAGGCAGTTATACTTACAGATTTACAATTCAAGGACAGGAAGGAACACTTTGGTGGCATGCCCATAGCTCATGGCTCAGAGCCACTGTCTATGGAGCCTTGATTATTCGCCCACGACTAGGAGAATCCTATCCCTTTCCCAAGCCAAAGCGTGAAACCCCTCTTCTTCTCGGTATGTTATATATATTATCGCTAGTAATCTTATTACTCGAGGTTGGTCTCTACACCAACAAGTTGAGGTGACAACGAAAGCACGATTTTTAAGTGGTTGGAATATATTTATTTATTTATTTATTTTCAAATTTGGGATGACACTAATTGTGATGATGGTCAGGTGAGTGGTGGGATGCAAACCCCATTGATGTTGTGAGGCAAGCCACAAGAACAGGAGCTGCTCCAAATGTTTCCAATGCTTACACCATCAATGGTCAACCTGGTGATCTTTACAACTGCTCTAAAAAAGGTATAATTTGACATTTATTCTCCCATTCAAAATCATGAAAATAAATATTTTCTCTTCCTAATTAGTCTTCAATTAGTCAGTTTTGGACAAAAGACAAAAAAATTGACTATAATGTATGATCCTATTCTGATGCAGATACAGTAGTAGTTCCAGTGAATTCTGGTGAAACAAATCTCCTCCGAATCATCAACTCTGCACTCAATCAACAACTTTTCTTTAAAATAGCCAACCACAAGCTCACGGTTGTTGGTGCCGATGCTTCTTATCTCAAACCCTACACCACCTCAGTTCTCATGTTGGGTCCAGGCCAAACGACCGATGTCCTGATCACTGCGGATCAGCCCCCAGCCAAGTACTACATTGCAGCGCGTGCTTACGCCAGTGCTCAAGGTGCACCATTTGATAATACTACTACCACAGCCATTCTTGAATACGCGACTGCTCCTTGCTTAGCAAAATGCACCTCGACCAAACCAGTTATGCCGTCTCTACCTGCATTTAACGACACTGCCACTGCAACTGTCTTCACAAAAAGCTTGAAAAGCCCGAGAAAAGTAGAAGTACCTACAGAAATTGATGAGAATCTCTTCATTACAGTTGGTTTAGGACTCAACAATTGCCCCAGTGGCGCTAGACGTAGAAATTGTCAAGGACC